TGAATCGACTCTTCCTGTCATTCATCTGACAGGGGAGACTGAGGAAGGCCACGTGCTCAGACACTGAAAGTCTGGAAAACTGAAGAATGGAAACACACAACAGAGCTGAAGATTTTCATTATGTTCAGTTCTGAGCTAACAAAAAAACCCAAACCCATCAGCAGGAACCCTGTTTGCTCTCCAATACAGACAAGGAGAGAGGTGGTCAGAACCCAAGTTTACATGAAGCTGAAACAACAGAAATGTGAGAATCCTAAACCTCCGAGCATCCAGAAGGTAACAGGGCCTCAGAATTACTGAAGCAATTCACTTCTCACCACTTACCCTGCTAAGGTCACACATATCAGTGTTGTTCAGTTATCTAGTAATTTTTCAGTAATGTCTGACTCTGACTCCATTTGGGGTTTCCTTGGCAAAGATACTGGAGTGGTTTGCCATTTCCCTCTCCAGCTCATTTTACAGAGGAGGAAATTGAGGCATACAGAGTGAGGTGACTTGCCCAGGGTCACACAGCTACTAAGTGTCTGGGGGCAAGGAAATGTGTTATGTGTTAATGACAAAAAATATCCTTTGGAAGCAGCTATTGCTGTGGCAATGGCCCAACATTTTACCTTCAGGTGCATTACTAAATTAGCTGAGTATCTGACCAAACTATAAATGGAAAATGGAACTGTGGCTCTCACTGCACATCTAAGAAGAGAAGAGAATATGACCTTTTGGAATTCGCACCCCAACCCTGGGGGAAAGGGCAGACCTTCTTCCTTGCTCATAGGGTTTTGTTTCCAAGTATTACACTGAATGGGTCCCATTGGTATGGTCTGGACCCATTATGGGGCTCTCATGCATAGGGTGTCTGCCATTGCATGGCACTGGATTACTGGCCAAGCACCTGCACATCAATAACACCTACTATACAGCAATTTCTCAGTTTTCTTGTGGGGAAGGGGGAAGAGAAATCCCACACCTTCAGGGAAGGAAGCCCACCAATATTGTGGGCTTCATAGAGAGAGAAAAGAGGTGGCAAGGACATGCAACTCTCATAAGTACATCTCTCTCTTCTTTTTTTTCTCTTCCCATTTTTCTCTCCCTCCTGTTGGTGTGGGAGGGTGATGGCTGAACAGAGAGCTCCTGCACCAGAACTGAGACGCTGGACTCATCTTGATCTCTTAACCGGGCATCAGCAATGGGACGCACATCTGTTACAGCAGCACTGGAGAATTTCAGCAGCACACAGGCTGACTCCCAGTCACCAGGCAGGTGACCACTGCCCTCTAGTTCCCACTCACCTCCTCTGTGTCTACTCCTTTGCTCTGACCTACTTTCAGCTACCCTAGGCCATCCTCTGCCTGTCTGCTGCACCTCACTCAGGCACAAGCTGCTCCCAAAATGCCTCCACTTTTCTGCTGCCTCAATCAAAACTCCCTGAGCATTGATTACCTGATTAAAGCACTACATAGTACTAACCAACCACCTTCACTGGTATCTGCATTTCAAACCGGGTTAGGCTAGTTGGCCTAAATGAATCTGACTTGTAAGGAGACGAGGAAATGCACAATGTATTATCTTGTCTTTCTTTCTAGCCTCAACGCATCCTTGTCTCCTCTCTCCTCTGGGGTTAGCCTCTGACCCTCTTCTACACCTGCCCTTTCCCCAGCCTCTCTCATACACAGTTATTTGCGTCTATACCTTTTCTAACCCCTGGAGAGATCTGGCTCTTAAGGCACTCCCAAATTCTGACCTCTCTACCTTGCACATAATAGGCGCTTTAAAAGTGCTGAATTCCACTGAATGTGGAGACCCTTCTGATACTGCTACTGCCCCTCCCCCTCAATCTGCCAGAGAGAACAGAAGTGCGCAGTATTAGCTTCATAGTGGCGTCCACAATTCACACCAGACCAAAGACGAACAGTAGACAGCTCTGCAAGCCTTTCATGGCACACAGAGTGGAAAATGAGAATTCCTCGTCTCAATAAGCCTCAAACTGGGGACTCTCTTCAGACCCGAGGGCCGACAAACTCCATCGGTCTTTAGCACTGTAAGCATGAAACAGACTCCTCAGGCACTTCAAGCCCTTCACAAGCGGCTCCCACCCCACTTCCTTCAGGCACGTGAGGGTCCTGCCAGACTGGCCTTCCACCTCCCACCTCAGGATCTGTGTACACCTGGGATGCCCTTCCTTCTCATCTCGTCTTCTTCAAGGTTGAGCAGCTGAACTCAAAGCTGCCTGCCTCAGGCCCTTCTGCAGTCTCCCTTCCTCTGCTCTGCCTCAAAACCACTTCCGAGTTACCCTGTCACCCCACCGAGATGCGCATACCCCGCCATGGCCCTTTTCCCTTCACGGCAGGGACTGTTTCTCCTCTGGCTTTCGTGTCCCTGCCCCCAGCTCAGGTGGTGAGAGCCTAATGCTCCACAAAAGCAAATGATTATCTGACCATTGCACCCAAAGCTAAGGAATGAATCCAAGCATCTGCTAAGAGAGAGCGGTGCCTGGAAACTGGTTCACGTTTAACAATTAGCAAATGGGCCTGTCTTCTGCCAAACGTTCAGGTGTCAACTTCCCAATCAATTTAATTGATTAACGGATGGCCGTTTTCTTCATGGCTGGGACCTGGACCTAGAACCGGGTACTGTCTGTACAGGCAACTCTCCAGAGGAAACTCCCTTCAACAACGGAAGTCCTGAGATTTTTCCGGTATGCAGAGTGAGGTGACTTGCCCAGGATGTGTAAGGGAGGCGGCACCTTCTTTAACCTGTCCAAACGACATGTGTTGAACCTATAACGATCACTACCAAGCATTAGCTCGTTTAAAACATAAAGGGGAACCTTAGTAGAAATAAGGAGTTCAGGGGAGACAAGCAGATACATGCAAAACCTTTTTATGTCAGATTTATAGGGTGTCCTAAAAGTCTGAGTGCAGCCTGAGCCCTTAAAATCACCCTAGGACCTTTGGGACACCTTACATTTCTTGCTACAAGAACATTTTTCAGCAAATAGGAAATTTACAAAGATACTGTCAAAAAGAAGATTTTTAATATTCTGTGCTGGTCATGTCAGGTGCTGCCACTCTCTGCACACCTCAACCTTGGGGAGATCACCAGCCCTAGAAAAACTGTCATTAAACTCCACATCTGCCACAGCAGCTCAGACTTCCTCCTGCCATTCATGCACAAATTCTACTATAAGGTAAGGAATTTTGGGGAAAAACAAACTTCAGAAGGGCAAATTACAGTTACTCAGCTTAGTCAATGATATGATGGAGTAAACAATTCTGATGTTTCCTCCTCAGCCTGCTGATTTTTTTTTTTTAGGCACTTGGGGTTAAGTGACTTGCCCAGGGTCACACAGCTAGTAAGTGTCAAGTGTTTGATCTGAGGCCGGATTTGAACTCAGGTCCTCCTGACTTTAGGGCCGGTGCTGTATCCACTTCACCACCTAGCTGCCCCCCACCTAGTTGCCCCATAGCCTGCTGATTCTTAGCCTTCATGCTTGGGGTCACCAAGTCTCACCTGCTGGTCTCTAGTTCAAACCTCTAACCCTGGGTCAAAATGTCAGATCCCTGAAGTTACTCAACAGCTTTCTTCTTGGGCATCTCACCTTGGGTCAGTTTCCAACAGAAATCCTCTTCTAGTTTTTAGACTGACTCCCTTTTCATTCTGGCATCCTGGCCTTTGAGCTAGCCATCAAAGTGTTCCTACTCTCATGGATACCCATGGGAGGGCTTGCACTTCCCACATGTGAGTGGCTCTGTGCTTGCCCATCCCTGGCCCCTCCTCAGCTCATGCCCTGGTCCCCCAGCCATGCCTTTCTTCAGCCTTCTCCGTAGCTCTGCTGACTGCCAGTTAACTCAGTGTCCATCACTAAATGCACCTACCAGGACCCACATCTTCCTCAACATGCTTATAACAATTCTATCCGCAGCAGAAAGTTGGTGCACTTATAGTTCACGTGATGTGGGGCCAGGGATTTTCATGGCTGCCATGCCTGTGGATTTACACAATTAGGAATCTAATCCAAGAGGCAGCATGGTAAGAAGCATGGGAAATACACACGACATGGAATTAAGAACAACTGGATTCCAATTCAGCCTCTGAGACCTCTTAGCCAAGTGAACGCTGGCCAAGTCACTTAACCTCTGCCTGCCTCAATTATAAGATGGGAGATAATTATAACACCCAGCTTCCGACGGCAGCTGGGTGGCGCAGTGGATAGAGCACCGGCCCTGAAGTCAGGAGGACCTGAGTTCAAATCTGTCCTCAGACCAAACTCTTGACGCTTACTAGCTGTGTGACCCTGGGCAAGTCACTTAACCCCAACTGCCTAAAAACAAAACAAAACAAAACAAAACAAAACAAAACAAAACAAAACAAAAATAACACCTAGCTTCCAGGGCTCTTGTGAGAATCAAATTAGAGAAAAAGTGCTTACTATGGTGCCTGGCATATAGTAGGTGCTTAATAAATGCTTAAGTCTTCTCTCTCCCCTTCCCTCCCTCCCACACCCTTCTTGGGGTGTGTTCTGTCTTACTCCCGGTCAGCTGGGACCCATGAAGAGCTGATCAGCAAACTGAATCTGAAAAGCAGCTAATCTGTTGGTGGGTTTGTACTGCCTACAAACAGTATGTCTGACACTATCAGACCTTCTGTTTTAAAAGATCACTTTAACATGACTTATTAAAGCTACCAAATAACAAAAAAAGTTGTTACAATAACTTTTTTTGTTGTTGTTTGACTGCTACCTTCTTTTCAAAAGACCCAAGTGAAGTCAATTTTCAAAAGTAATTAAGGTTCAGAAATGTTCCTCAAGTGATTCTTGCAATTTGAAGACTAAAGCTATGAAATACAGATACTGATGAGGCTCTGAATTATGCATCGTCTCAAAGACAATTTGCTGGATGGGAATCAGTTTGAGACTATTTTTAGTAGCTTTCTGTAAAAAAAGCTATTTTAATTTGAGCTATGTGCTCCAGTGTCAGCTTAATGGAGTAAAAGCATTTACATACACGAGAGAAGTTTCCATTCTTTGGGCTTTTTCCAGTTCTTCTTCAGGGTCCTTGAATCCAGTAAAGGAGTAGTAAGTCTTGTTCCATTTAATAGGTCTGTCAAATGTCCTTTGTGCCCCGCTGGGTGCTTGGGAAGCCTCATTAGCACTGGAACTCGGGATGTGCTCAGTGGATAAGCTACAGGAGTTGAGAATATCTAGGACGGTGCTCAGGAGATCTCTGCTATGCAAAGTAAAAGTGACGGCTCGAAATCCTAAAAAATGGAACCCCATAACAGTTACTATTTGGTTCAGTTTAATATCATCTTTGCTTAAAAAAAAAAAAAGGAATCTTTTTCCATTAAAAAAATCAAAATTCATACACATGTTCCATTCAGTTCATAAAATCTAAGTGTGTAATGAAAAATTCTCCTTAAATACTTTAAAATTAAATTTTTTTCATGGCAAAACATTTGTTAAAAAACAAAAACATTTCACACACCCCAAATTATACCTGCCCGTGTACTCCCCCTGACCTCTCATTTCAGTTTCATTACTGGTGTACAAAACTGAGTGCTGGTAAAACCTTTATAGCTAAAGGGTAGCAGGTTAGCTCATGGCACCTTAGAAATTAAGGGTTACCAATCCCAACTCAATGGGTCAAGTTTGGGGTCAGTATCCATAGCCCCAGTCACGATAAAAACTGTCCTAAGAGTTAGAATGCACAAATGACCTCCTAATGGGCCAGGACTGTGTGGTACCATCAGTCCTGGCAGTACTAAAGAACAGGGCCAGGCTCTCTCTTTTAGAGAGAAGTTGAGAGAAATCGTTTTGGGGCACACCTAGCACTCTTGTTTTGAGGGCCATGGAGATCTAAGCTTTCTTTGGGTGGTGGGAGAGTGCTCCCCTTGACCTCATACTTGCTTTCCCATAGGGCCAGGGCCTGCTGTTTCCACATCTGACTGATCACCGTGATTGCTGAATATGAATGCTTGATTAGTCATTGTCTTCTTGGCAGAGTCATTGATCTAAGCCTTATGACCACAGTTACTAAATGATCAATCCGAAGCTTATTTTCTAGAATATGTCTACAGAAAAAAGTGTGTATCATTCCAGTAAAACACGCCACCAAAGAATAGCAGGCCCTGGTTTGGGAATCAAGGCACACAAAGAGGGCACACAGAACTTCACTCTTCCCTCTACTTTAGAGCTACCTCTAGCAATTAGGGCTGCTTTGTTCCATAACACCTGAAGGTTACATTTGGTATTACCACTATTCTGAGAATTTCTTTTCACCATTATTTAAATCCAATTTTTGTTTTCTCTGGGTCTTAGTGACTCCTACTAATTTAGAGTGGAAGGTCTTAAAGATTCCTTGAAATACTCAGGAGAAGATGAGTTAGGTCTTACCCAGCCAAAGGCATGAGGTTCCCTTTCTATGACTTTGATGGTTTTTATCTTGAAGATTTTGAGGGGAAATTAAGGGAAGTTAGGATAGACAATGGCCTAAGGGGACCCACAGACATGGGCCCTGGAATGCAGAATGTGGAGGAACTAGAGAAATCAGCCTGCAGCTACTTAGGACACTTCTACGTCATCCTCTTCCCCACCCCCCCCCCCCCCCCCCCCACCCAGCCACCATATACACAGTTATGTGAATTCTGCCTGAAAGAGAAGAAGTGGGCTTAGGAATATTATTAATAACAAAATTATGAAAAGTTCCAATTAATCTGTCACCCTCCATTAATTTACACAGCACTTTTTTTTTTAAATGAAATTTCTTTCTTTCCTTTTTTTTTTTTTTTTTGGTGTGGCGATGGGGGTTAAGTGACTTGCCCAGGGTCACACAGCTAGTAAGTGTTATGTGTCTGAGGCCGGATTTGAACTCAGGTCCTCCTGAATCCAGGGCCAGTGCTCCATCCACTATGTTACCTAGCTGCTCCTTACACAGTGCTTTTCTTAAAAGAAATTGGTGTGCAAAAAAATGTGTTCTTTTAAAAACATTTACCTTTCCTGTGGGGTAACCCTGACCTACCTGGGCCGGGCCAGGGCTGGAGAAGTGGCAGAAATGACAGCCTGGCCACATCAGTTTTCTTTCCTACTCTGGCTATAGGAGGAGTAAAGCATGAGTTGGGATCCTCTGTCCCTATCCCCTGACCCATCTTTAAACATCAAAATAGCCAATATCTTGCATACAAGACATAAAAGGAAAGCTGTCCTGTATTACAGGAAATATAAAATATTCTTTCATTTATCTCAAAACCTTTCAAGTATGTGGAACACATGTGATAACAGACAGCTACGGGCTTGCTCAAAGCCATCTCTGCAGTGAGCAGAGAATCCTGCTCTTGGGATTCCAAGGCTAGTGGCCATTGAGCTCAATGACCCGCCCTGCTTTCCTAGGACAGGGGCTCCTTTCAAAGACTCTTCCCTCCACATTTATCACTACTCTCTACAACGTGGGTGAAACTTGTCAGAAACATCATACAAACAAGACAAGGCACCTAGTGCGTTCAATGACTCGTGGCCATCCGAGGACATCTGTTCCGTCTCTCTCACGTAAAAAGTAAGCTGAGTTGGTTTCAAAGACTTGAAGCCCGGTTTCTGGAGGTTTTCCAAGTAGGCACTTAATTTCTTAAGAGAATTTTCATTGATTTCCTGGGGGAGAAAAGAAGTAGTCACATATATGACAATATGAGAACTGTATTCAAGCTATGTGTCAACACTATTTGAGGGCTTTTAAATAATTTTTAAAAATCTACAATCTATGTACTAGGGTACTAAAACCTGAAAATGATTCTAGGAGTTTACTAAAACTAGTGACTTCTGCTCTTTTCATGTGTCTCCGAATTTCAGTGTAATGCTCTGAGTTGAGGCTGGCAGCACAGCCACAGTAGAAAGGCAGACCCAGAAATACACCAAGTGTACCTGGTCCTCTTCCATCACACTGCCAGAGACCTGCTGTCCGTGGTGCTGGAGCGTGTGGCCTTTTCTTCATAATCTCAGCCAGTCCTTGAGCCAAGCCAACAGTGTATGTAAAGGATCAAGTCATCCCCAGGCTGGCTCTTCTAACAATATGCATCTAAGTTATATGGACAGCAACGGCAAGGTTAAGATTCTTAGTTCTAAAGGGACTCACAGCCCGTCTGAGATGCTTTATTCTCTTAAAGACAAACAAGGTGGTCAGTCTGGGTCTGGCTGGTTGTGCTCCTCTCCTGGCCTTGGGAGAACGAGGGAGCAGATGTCAGCTGGGGAGCCTGCTGGATCTGCCCCCTCCCTTGGCTCAGTCAAAGAGCAAATACAGATTCAAAAAGGAAAATGTGAGATCCTGAGGATGGTGAAAATCTCTTTAGAGGAGATGTCCAAAAATCGAGACCTCAAGCCTATTTTTAAAAGCAAGCATGTGTTAGGGCGTGAGACATTTGGGGGAGTCACTCACTTAGGGGTGCCTAGCTTCTTGCTGTTTGCATGTTCTAATTATAAAATAGTAAAACGTTTCCAAGAGAACAAATACAAGCCATAATCTATTGTTACATCTGAGAGATCAATGAGCTATGGGTGATAAATCTGTTGATCAAACCATGCTTACTGTTTTAAAATAACTATGTCAAAAACTGCGCTCAACAAAGCATTAACTGAGAACTGTATTTTTCCTCTTTATCTAATGATAGTTCAGATTTTCAAGGGAGTTTTAAAAGAAACAAATTTGCTCTTTCACAGTGAGTCACCCTCAGTGATCCTCAGTCAATCGGCAAGCTTGAACTATGCATTTCCTATGCGCCAGGCACAGGCTGAAGGTACACAGACAAAAGTGAAAGAACCCCTAGCCCTCACAGAGCTCCATTCTAATGAAGGAGATGACATGCACATGTCTCATTATTTGCAGAATACACACAAAACGAATCTGATATAGTTTGGGGATGGGTGGCACTGGCAGCCATGGGCCTCAGAAGAGAGTTTAGAGATCAGAAGGGCAGAGGTGAAGAAGGAGAGCCCTCCGGGAAGAAATGGGACCCCCCCAGTATCAAACTACAGCAGAGGAGATGCAGCATCTTATGTAAGGAGGCCAGACCATAGTGGGAACGGAGGGGAGTCACACGCAGGATGTTTGCAGAGCTAGGAAGAGGAAAGGCAGCTGAGGGCTTTGAACGTTGGACAGAGCACGTTCTGTTTGACTGCAGGGACGGGGGAGCCCAGGACAATGTCTGGCAGCCCTGTGGAAGATGGCCTGGAGTGGGGAGGGACTGGAGGCAAGTAGACACAAGGGTCACTGACATGGTCCCCAGAAGGTGGCGAGGGTGGGTGATGGCTGTGTGTGTGTGTGCGAGTGGAGAAAGGAGGAAGTAGCCCCCCAATATTTTGAAAATGGAAAGGATGGGATCTGGTGAGTACATGTGAGATGGAGGATGACAGAGGCTGGGAATAGGGTGAGTACAAGGATGATGATGCTTCAGCAGGAAGGGTGAAATCACAGGTGGAGGGTCTGGGAAAAGAGAATAGGTTCTCTTGGGTCATATGGAGTTGGAGATACTTCCAGATACAGAGTCTGAAATGGCTAAGAGGCCATTAGTGATGGGGACAGGGTCCTCAGGAGAGACCAGTTAAGGGGGGCAAAGGAGACCCAGAGAAACATTTGTTTTTTTTTTTTTTTGGTGAGGTGAGGCAATTGGGATTAAGTGACTTGCCCAGGGTCACACAGCTAGCAAGTATCATGTGTCTGAGGTTGGATTTGAACTCAGGTCCTTCTGACTCCAGGGCTGGTGCTCTATCCACTGTGCCATCTAGCTGCCCCATCAGCATGAGATACTGAAAAACACACACTGACAATATATAAAAACGATGGCCCCCACTGGCATAATCAAGAAGGGACTCTACAGAACGTCCCTAAAGTCTTAGTGCTGTTCTAGGCTGATGAAAGCTTCTAGCTGCACCAAGACTTTTGGGACATCTACATTCAGGAACATCAATCTGATGGATTTTCAAAATTCTCCATTTTTCTTATAAAAAAATCAATCCACAAAATGTAATTACAAGTAAAACTTGGGGATTAGCTTATGACATTTTAAAGCTTCACTATCAAACCCTTTCAATTAGGTACAAAAGAATGATCCCAACCCAACAGACAAACCCAAACCTACCACCCTTCCACCCAACAAACACCAAGGGCGCTAAAGGACAAGGATAAATGCTCACCCTCTCTCTGGGATGCTGTCCAAAGAAATCTGGGTGCACTGCAAAATAGAAAGGTCTCAGAGCGTTTATGGCCTCAGCTCCGGAGAGTGTTCTTGAGTGAAGAAGCCAGGGGGGCAATATTTTCTCTAGACATAACCTTACAGGTATATAAAAAAGGTCTGTTATCCATCAAGGCATAAAGAAAAGTAAAAATAAAGGTACAAAATGATTCAAATATACATGATTAAAACAGAAGCACTATTTCCAGGTAATACAACCTCTAAGAGCAATACAAGGAAAGAACGTTCTCCTTCTGAAATCTATGACAAGCTGGACAAGACACTCCAGACCGATCTGACATTCACCTGGAGGCCCAGAGTCTTAATAAGAAGGCTGGCACGAGGAGGACAGACTGGAAAACACGGTTTGGGTTCAGACAAATTCCGGGAGATGTTCACAAGCCTCAAGCCTGTTTACCATCCCTTTCTTCAAAAAGAAGGTTGAAAGGCATCGGGCGTGGCAAGTACTGAACAATATGACTGAAAAAGACTTTATCGTAACAGGCACAAAAAAGGAGTCGTTTCTGAATCATCTGTCTGTATGGCCATGTCACTGTAAGGAGCCACCTATGGCTACAACTACTCCAATCTGAGTTACTGGAGTTAGCAGATGACAGAAAAAAATGGAAATAAATAAAGGTACAGACACTGACTTTGAGCATCACCATTTCTTAGATGAGCAAAATCGATATAAAGTAGTTGCTACAAGATGTCCAAGAGTCTAGAAACTGCTTCAACCACAAATGGATGACCTTGCTGCCAAATAGGAGCAGGAGGAATTTCCCTGATGGCAGGCCTGCTTCATTTTTATCTTTGTGGCCCCTGGTGCAATGCCCGGCAAAGCAGAGCTTAGTACATATGGTGCTCAATCAAGGTTTGTCGAGCGATTCATTCCATTAAAAAAAAAGTCTCACTTTTCAAATGGAGAGCTATGGGCAATACTGGCTTCCACTTCCAACTCATCTGTTAAAATATGATGGCAGCAAGGTCCGTTTCTCTGAATGGTGAGTCCTTAGCACAGACCATTTCACAAGGGCCCAGTCACACTCACTCCACTCTGTCATATCCGTGGCTCACTCCTGGGACTTCCCTGTCTCCTGGCCAGCACCAGCCTTTCTACTGTGGGGAAAGCTCCAACCTGAGCCCCTCTCTTCTGACTGGTGAGCCTCGAGCCCAGATTTTATTTCACGAAGGACCCCAGTCATGCTCCCATGGCTCCCAGGACTTCTCCTTGACAATCGCCCTGCCCTGCCAGGGGAACCCAGCTGCCTGCTTCCCCTCCTGGTTTCTGGCTCCCCTTTGTTGTCTCCTCTATTACACGTTGAGTTCTTGAAGTGAGGAATTGCCTAGCTGGCTTGTATTTGTAAACTTTGCTATTGTTGTTCAGTCTAACTGACTGACTCTTCATGACCCCATTTGGGGTTTTCTTGGCAAAGAGACTGGGGTGGTTTGTCATTTCCTTCTCTAGCTCATTTTACAGAGGAGGAAACTGGGGCAAACTGGGTTAAGGGACTTGCCCAGGGTCATATAGAGATAGTAAGAGTCTGAGGCTGGATTTGAACTCAGGTCTTCCTGACTGAAAGCCCAGCGCTCTATCCACTGCGCCACCCAGCTGCTCCTCCTTGTATCCCTACTACTTAGCAAAGTACTTGGCACATAATGCTTGATAAACACTTAATCTGTCATCTATCTAGATGATTATAAGCAATGTTTGCTTCACAAAGTACTTTTTTTCCCTGCATGTTTTTCATAACCAAGTATTTTACAGTATGTTTTCTCCTAACTCCTATAAAGGGCCTTCCAAAGATTGGTCAGGCTTAGATGCCATTTCTCTTTTTGCCTTCCATCCTTGCCTTCACATTAGACTTTCCCCCAATAATAATAAAAAAAAAACTTCAGAAATTTGAAAAACAATTTTAAGTTAGCTAAAATAATGAACATATTTTAATGTTAAGACAAATTTAACAGCCAATCTTACCTCCTTATGGGTCTCATATAGAAAAACATTTCTATATATTGCTGCAAGTCAACTTCTGGGAATCCATTAATCTCTAAAAGAATTAAAACATAATAGAAAGAGGAGAATATTAAAAACTGATATTGCACGAATTTTTCCAGTCCTTTACAAAGAAAACAGAATGTTTTCTTGAAATAATCTTGTCTCAGAATGTAATATTATAGCATCGAACATGACAATATTAAAGTGTCCTAAATAAAAAACTCCAAAATCACCTCAGAAATTTGATTCACGAATAGGATAAAAGCACACTGAAACACTCCACAAAGGTGATTTAATAAAAAAGATATTGTGATTTTGACAATTCATCTAATGCATTACAGGGGCCTGTATGTTCATTTGGATTGGAATTTATAATCATCTTACCATTCAAAATTAATGTTACACTTAGAACTTGCTTTATGTGATTTTTATGTTCATGCTCATGAAATCCTATTTAAGTGTCTTCCCAACTGGTGTCTCTGGGACAGAGAGTGAGGCTGACAACTTTGTACAACTGCCTTACTTAAATCTAATTCAACACCCATGATGTCACCGGTCCTCTTTGAAAAGAAAGATGAACAACAACATTTAAGGGTGCCAGGAAAACTTGACAATTTTTAAAGGCATCTTTAGGTGAATTCTTTTTCAAAAAAACAAGTCAAGAGGCATTTATTAAGTTCCTGCTACATGTTAAGCACTGTGCTAAGCCTTGGGGATACAAAGAAAGGCAAAAGCCAGCCCCCAACATGCCACAGGCAAACAAGAGACATACAGGATACACTGGAGATAATCTCCAAAGGAAGGCACTAAGATTTAGGAGGACTGGAAAAGGTGCCTTGCAGAAGGTAGGACTTTGGCTGAGCCTTGAAGAAAGCCAGGGATGCCAGGAGACAGAGAGTACCAGGCATGCAGAACAGCCTAAGAAAACGCCTAGGGTTGGGAGATGGAGTGGCCAAGTGGCCGATGTCACTGGACTAGCAAGTGTGTGGAAGGGAGTAAGATGGAAATGGACTGGAAAGGTAAGAAGGGGCCAGGTTGTGAAAGGCTTTAAAAACCAAACACATTGGTCCTAGAGGTGACAGGGAGCCACTGGAGTTTATGGAATAGGGAGTGACAAGGTCAGATCTGGGGAGATCAATTTAACATCCGAGTGGATGACAGACTGCAGTACGGAAAGCCTTGAGGCAGGGAGACAGAGAAGCATATAGTAGGTGCTTAATAAATGTTTACCGAATCTGACTCTGAATTCAGTTTTGGATAGGTCGAGTTCAAATGTCTACAGGACATTCAGTTCCAAATATACAGTAGGCAGCTAGAAACATGAGAATGGAGGATGCTTGAGAGGCTGGAGCAGAAGAGGCAGATTTGAGAGTCATTTACATAACGGTGATAATTAAAATCAGGCAAAAATGAAATTACCAAGTCAAATAGGATAGAAGGAGAAGAGAAGAGGGCCCAGGACAGAACCATGTGGGACACCTACGGTTAATGGGCATGATCTTTGTGGAGATTCCCCAAAGAAGATTTTGGAGGGGTCAGACAGGTGGAAGGAGAACCAGGTGAGAGCCACGTCATAATACCTTCGAGGGGAGACAGCATCAAGGGGAAGCATCTGGGTGACATTGTTCAAAGCTGCAGAGTCAAGGAGGGTGAGGATGGAGAAAACATTCTTAGAGTTCATTGGTAATTCCACAGATGGAAGTTTGGGTTGAAGGATAAAACTGGAAGCCAGAGAGTGAGAGAAAGGAAGTGGATGCCAATTACAGATGACTGTTTCAAGGAGTTTAGCTACAAACAGAGAGGTATTGTCAAGGGTTACAGCGCGAATTGTTCTATAATGGAAGTAATCACCTCCTCCGTGCACTGTTAAACCTGTTTTGTGTTCTGTTTACAGTGTGATAGAGCAGAGAGAAAGGCAGCCTTGGGTTGAAGTCTTGTTTCTGACAGCATTGGCAGTGTGACCGTGCAGAGGTCACTCAACATTTTAGTGCCCCAAACAACTCCTTAGGCCTGTAACTGCTGAGCCGGGGGGCAGTCTGCAATTAAGACCTCACGGGTCTAGACTAAAAACAACTGTGAAGGAGGGGTGTACTGCAGTGCAGGCAGGATTGCAAACTTTAAGGCACCAGTACAGATCAGTTCTTATCCTATTAATCAATCAATCAATCAAAAAGCCTTAAACATCAAGGTTGGGCCCTAAGGATACAGAAGAGTAATGCATCTCTACTGTCATCACTACTACCCTTGATCAGAGGAGGCAGCAGGTAATAGCTACAGAATAAAGATAACGTGTTTAGGGGGAATCGCACAGAAGGTGGTGCTTGGGCTCAGCCTTGAAAGGAGAGTTTAGAAGGTCAAGAGGAAGTGCTTTCCGGACACGGGACAGTAATCAAGACAGATGGAGGTGGAGTTCCATTCATGAGAAGCAAAGAGGTCAGGCTGGCTGCATCACCCAGTGCATGCAGGAAGGGGAGTCGTCTAGCGAGACTGCAAAGACAGGTAGGGGCCAGGTTGTCAAGTCAAGTCAAGATGCATTTATTATGCTCTTACTACATGCCAGGCACTGAGAGCTCAGTGCTGGGCACACCCTCAAGAAGCTTACATTTGAATGGGTAAGATAACACCTAAAAGGCAGCTTAAAAGGAAAGGGAGAAGGTAGTCTGGGGCATAAAGGATGATGAGATGGGCCTTTCCACAAAATGGAGGTTCCCATGCAAATTCACCAATGGGAGAAGGAAGCTACAGGGGCACATAGGGAAGATAGCCAAAGTATGGCAATGTTGGGAGGATCTTTAAGAGCCAGACATGGGAGTTTATATTTTATCCTAGAGACAAGATTATTAAGAAAAATGAAAACCAACTGAACTTTTACTTCTACTGGCACCGACTTTTTTTCTTTTTCTTTTTGGTGAGACAATTGGGGTTAAGTGACTTGCCCAGGGTCACACAGCTAGTAACTGTCAAGTGTCTGGTCTGAGACCAGATTTGAACTCAGGTCCTCCTGACTCCAAGGCTTGTCTATCCGCTGCACTACCTAGCTGCCCTTGTTGACACTAGATTTTATTTCAGGTAATCAATGGTGTGTAGTTGCATGAGGCCAAGGTGTTCCTCAATTAATCTCTTTTGTACAGCAAATTTGGCTTGTTATCATTTCTTTGTTTCCTGAATAGCCTAATGCCAACGCTTTATTAAGATTCTGGAACAACAATAAACCTCTGATCTCATAACTTCCAAATATTTCCAAAGACTAGGTAAAGCCATATTATTCATTCAATAGATAGTCATGGAACAAGAAACTATGTTAGAAGACACAATGAACAATAAGACATAGTCCTTGGCCTCAGGGTGCTTCCACTCTAGTACAAAGAGGAGACAGAACCTTTCACCAAACTCTCAACTCTGCTCTCCCTGGGCATCCTTCTACGTGAGGCAATCATTCATTTGAAAAGAAAAGAGGGCAAAGGTTAATGCATGAACAATTTGGCCACAAGCGGAACTGATCTGCAGTTAGATGAACCAAGCCATGAAAATATTTTCACATACCACAAGACTAATGGAAGCACATTCACCTCCTTAGTCTTAGACCAGCTTCCTCTTTTAAATCAGGCTGGCATTTTGCGAACTTTCAGGGAAGTTCCAACGCTCTGTCACAGATTGCCATTAAACAGAGGTCCATTTTCCAGCAGCAATATCTTCCCTCTGGTGCTGTACTGCTATGAATTGTGGAATACAACACTCTGAAGATTTACAATTGTGGGTCATGCAAAGGGCACCAGAGAAGTGCATAGTGGGCGTGAGCAGACAGAAACACATTAAATACATGACTTTCAAGGATTGTGCAAGAGCAGAGGCCTAACAGAGGTCAGGAGAGAGCATCCTAACCCTAAATTTGCGCCTGGAAGAAAAGGTTAGCTGGTCATGTGGCCTGAGGAAGAAAGGGACCCATGTGGCCTCTGCTGAGATCCAGCACGGTGGATAGCCACATATTTATAGGAAGGCCTGGATAAAGGTCACCACAGACAGCTCTCAGCTGCGTCCCTGGGGAGAATAGTCAAACTGATGAGATCACGACTCCATCCAAGTAATACACTCTTGGCCCACAGTGACCTTACAATCCACTAAGACCCTCCAGATTTTTTTTCAGACAGATTGCTTCCTAATTTCACCTCTCCCAATTTAGAACTGTGAAATTAACTTTCAGAATCTCTCCTTGTGAATGGGTTCCTTCCCTCCTGACTTCACACATGCCCAAATCTCCATCCTTAAAAAAACCCTTGGCTACACATATGTCTCCTTGAGCTATTTATTCCATATCCATCCTCCCCTTGTCAGCCAAACTCCTTGAAAAAGTGGCCTCCGTCTTTCTCCTTTCCTCAATCAGTTGTTCCTAATCTGGCTTCAGACCAGCACTCCAGTTACAAGGAACTTTTCATCCCCAGTCCTGATCCTCCTGCATCTCTGTGGCCTCTGACACTGTTTACATTCTCCTGGGTACTCGCCTCATCTCCCACACGTTCACCCAGCTTCTGTCCTGGGCTCTCCTCTCTTCTCCCTCTTGGTAACCATCATCTCTGTGTAGGTGACTTCTGAGTTTTTTTTTAGTCCTGCATCATCATAACTGCCTAGTGGACATTTCAAACGGGATGTCCCAGAGATACCTTCAACTTGGCAGTCTCAAACGGAACTCCTGATCTTATTCTAAACACCCCACTCTGGTCCGTCGCCTCCCACTTTCCTGTTTCTGTTGAAGGCAGCACTGCCTTTCCAACACCTCAGATTTGCAATTCAGGCCTCCTTCTGAACTCAATCTTGCTGTTTCTCTGCTGAGGTATCTCTCACCTCTTTCTCTACCTTGATTCTGGCTCTCATCGCCAGCCTCTCACTGGATTACTGGGACAGCCTCCAGTTTCTCTCCTCCCATCCATTCTATACCAGCTGCAAAGTATTGCTGGCTCTGACCATCTGACAGCGGATCCACTCCACTGGCTCCCTCCTGGACCTGCCCTGCCCTCTCCTCCAGCCTTGGGGGGTCCTTTCACTCGCTGTGCCCCTCTCCCTACCAAACCACCTTGCATGACTCCTGGCTACATTCCGTGGTTCACTTGGTGGTGTGGACAGTTCACTGTGTGCTTGATGTCTCCCTCACTGCGGGTGGGATCGGTTCATTCTTTGTACTTGCATCCCCAGAGCCCAGTCCAGGACTGGCCCAGGGCAGGCGGCCCCTGAGACTAGATCAAAGGTGACGCGGAGCTGGCCTTGCATTGTGGTGGGTGAGTGGGACCGAGAGGCTCGGAAGCACGACGTGTGCAACCCCGCTCGTGGATACAGGAGTTGCGCGTGAAAGTTCTCGGGAAACGGAGGCACTTCCCGTTTGTTTCGGGGCTTGTGCACTAAGCACCGAGATGCAAACCACGGAGGACCCCTCCCCCACTCTCGTCTCCAGGGCCTCCCGCCCCCAAAGGCCAGGGGTGACCCTGAGCTCTCACGCCGCCCAGAAAACACCCGGGGGACCTCGGGGCCTGTTTCCTCGGCTGTCCAGGGGCAGAGTTCGGCCGGCGCGGTTCACAGGGCCTGCCCGGGCTGCGGGGGAGGGGAGGGTCATGATCAAGGTCAGGGTGATGACCCCTTACCCCTCACCTAGGCCGGACGCCCGGACCCGCAGCCGCGCGGCTCACACGATTACACCTTCCCTCCCCCGAGGCGGCACGGCGGGGACCCCAATTCACGCGCGGAAGGATGCCCACGCAGGGTCACGGTCCCGGCCGGCTCATTTGGCCTTCGCCCCCAGCTCAGTTCCGGGGTCCCGAGAGGAGGGGACTAGGTGGGGGAGGAGCCTCCGGGACGCGCGCCCATTGGCTGATCCACGCCACGCCTCGCACCATGGCCCCGCCCCGTTCCGCAGTGTTTTGTGGCGAGGATGACAAGGTGCCAAGGCATGGGGGGGCATGGGGGGGTAAGGAGACGGGGAATGGCCCCATTGTGCGCGCCTATTGGCTAAGATGTGCCAGACCTCGCCCCGCCCCATCCAGGGTCTATGAGTTCGAGACGGAGGGGGCGGAGGGAAGGGGGTAAGAGACATCCCCTACACTTCATTGGCTGAGCTGCACCAGGCCCCGCCCCATTCATTGGTTGAACTGCACCGGGCCCCGCCCCGGACCGCTCTAGGTCGAGCAGGACAAAGCGGTTGGCGTGGGAATTCACTCCTCCGCGCGCTCATTGGTTGGGCTGCGTCAGGCCCGGGAGGACGCTTTTGCGGGAACCGTGCGCCCATTGGCTGAGCCGTGCCAGGCCTTGCTCCACGGCGCGCACAGCTTGAGACCCGTTCAAGCTGCTCCCGGTGGCCCTTCCTACTCAGCCAGTCTTTCCCCACCCACTAATTCTGGCGGATGCTCACTGTGCTTCTCCTTCATCCCTTTCCCTGGAGGGGACCCTGGTGCTGCCCGCAGCCCTCGGCCTGCCCCTGCCCGGTCCCCTTACCAGCCTGTCCCGGGAGAGCTTCGCCCACTCCCGTCGTCTGGTTTAAGGGAGAGTGAGCCCGCGGGGAGGGAAGGGAAATGGGGACGCGCCTCACGGTCCCGCGCGCGGGGGCGGGGGAACGCGAGTGGCAGGTGGCTAAGCGCGCGAGCGGGGAGGGAGGAGCGTAGCCCCTGCGCCTGCGCGCTCGGGGCGGCCTAGCTTCGCTTTCTCCGATTGGTTGGCTGGTCTCAGCCCTGCGGGAGCTTCGAGAGCTGGCTTTTTGGCGCCTGCGCAGTGGCGCCCTCCCTCCCCCTATTGAGCACTTGCTGTGCGAGATTTGGAACTTGATTTGTTTATGCTCGCCAGCCGTGACTCCGGGCGCGCTCCCCTCTGGGTGGGGCCCTGCCTTATTTGGGCCGTAGGCGTGGCTTGGTGTGTGGTGTGCGATGCCGGTCTAAAGTTCCCTTGTGCCGAACGTGGCGTTTCCTCGCAGCGCCGCTGGTCCAGGAGCCGTCTTCACGCGCTGCCTCCTGGGCCAGGCCCGCGTCATTGACGCCCCAGCCACCCTTGGGGTTCTGCGCTCTTCCAGGGCTGTAAAATACCCTTTGGAGAGTTTGGTACAACACTGAACACACGAATTAATTGAGGTTGTCTAATAAAAATATTCACCCAACCTGCCCATGAGCATTACTGTGTCTCCAATTATTCACTGGTCTTTATTTCTGAAGGGTGTTTCAGACTTAGATTCACGTAGTCCCTCGGGAGACTCCGAGATATTTCGTAGCTTTCTAATCATTTTGAATGGAACTTCCAGCTCTTCCTGCCGGATTTTGTTGGTTATATATAGAAATGCGAATGACTCATATGGTTGCATTTCTAAAGTTATTTCAATTTTGTTTATTTTCTAGGGTTCTCTAAGTATTAACCATAATATCCAATGCAAAAGTTGATAGTTTTGGTTTCTTTGCTCATATAATTTTTTTAGTTTTATCTCCCTCCTTTAACGACCAGATTAAAAATGTTATATATGGCTACAAAATTTCCACTCAACTATAATCCCCCATATTAATCATATTCAATGTCATCTGAATGTGGCTTGAGCCTCCAACCAATGCAGTTTCTACTCACATACCAGGCAGGAGCGACAAATAGCAAAGCACTGAAATCAGAGGTCCAACCCTCCAGTTTTGTGAACTTAAAAAAAAATTAGCTGCATTTATTTCAATATGATTGGTTTCCTTCGTAATCCTCTATATTTTATTTTATGCATTTAAAAACATTACCCTGAGAAGGGGTCCATAGATTTCACTAGACTATTAGAGCTCCATGATACAAAAAGTTAAGAACCCTTGACTTAGTCAAAATATATTAACAAAGTAGACTGAGGTAAAACAAGCAACAAGATCATTATCAGGCTAGATAAATGCTGAAAACAAGCCCTCACAAACTCATCCCATTTACAATGGAGAAATGAAACACCTCCTGATACTACAGAAACTCACATTGCACATTGATGAATGGGAGTTTTGTGTTGTGGTTAGAGTATCTCTCCATGCAGCTCCGTTGTAATCTAAGCAGTTCTTTGCACCCCAGCCCCCCCCCCCCCCAACTGTTGCTTGCCTCAGAAGCCATTTCTTCCCTACTCTTAGCTGCCTGATGTAAAACTGCTCTGCTGCTGCTGAGAAAGCACGATTCCTCTCTTAGAGTTGGACTGCCTGGGACACAAGTCTTTAGATAGGAGACTCAGTCCTACTTTTGACCTGCTGTAAGCTCTATCAAGCTGGTGTCTGAAGCGCTCCTCTAAGGCGGCTGTGAGGCTCCTCTTTCCTAACAGCAACTTCCCACTACATCTACTGTCTTGCTGAAGCCTACTATAAATACATCCACTCCTTGCATCTCCTGACTTTCCTTTTCCACCGAAATCAGTTGGTTCCCCTCTATGCAAACTGAATTGCAGCTTAGAAGTATCTCAGGAAGGCTAAAGGTGAAAGGAGTAGAATATATGATGCTTCAGCTGAAGTAAAAAAAGCAGGGGTAGCAATCCTGATCTCAGACAAAGCAAAAGCAAAAATAGAGATAAGGAAGGAAACTACATCCTGCTAAAAGGCACTATAGACAATGAAGTAATATCATTACTAAACATATGCACCAAGTGGTAAAGTATTCAAATTCTTAGAGGAGAAGTTCAGGGAGTTACAGGAAGAAATAGACAGCAAAACTACACTAGTGGGGGACCTCAACCTCCCCCTCTCTGAACTAGATAAATCTAATCACAAAATAAACAAGAAATAAGGAGGTGAATAGAATTTTAGAAAAGTTAGATATTTGTCTGGAGAAAACCGAATGAGGAGAGAAAGGAATATACTTTTTTCTTGGTGGTACATGTCACTTACACAAAAATTGACTATGTACTAGGGCATAAAAACCTCACAATCCAATGCAGAATGGCAGAAATATTAAATGCATCCTTTTCGGATCATGATGCAATAAAAATTATATGTAATAAAGGGCCATGGAAAGATAAAGACTAAAAATTATTTGGAAACTAATCTAATCCTAAAGAATGAATGGGTCAAACAACAAATCATATAAACAATAACTTCATTCAAGAGAATGAAAATGAGACAACATACCAAAACTTATGGGACACAGCAAAAGCAGTTCTTGAGGGAAGTTTTATATCTCTAAATGCTTACGTGAATAACATAGAGAAAGAAGAGATCCATGAATTGGGCATGCAACTAAAAAAACTAGAAAAAGATCAAATTAAAAATTCTCAATTAAATACCAAACTAGAAATACTGAAAATCAAAGGAGAGATTAATAAAATTGAAATTAAGAAAACTATTGAATAAATAACTAAGAGCTGGTTTTATGGGGAAAAAAACCAAACCTTTGATTAAAAAAAAAGAAGAAAACCAAATGACCAACATCAAAAATGAAAAGGGTGAATCCAACACCAATGAAGAGGAAATTAGAACAATAATTAGGAACTATTTTGCCCAACTCTATGCCAATAAATTTGACAATCAGTGAAATGGATGAATATTTATAAAAATAGAAACTGCCCAGATTAACAGAGGAGGAACCAACCACTTTGGAGAGCAATTTGGAACTATGCCCAAAGGGCTATCAAAATGTGCATACCCTTTGACCCAGCAATAGCACTTCTAGGGCTGTGTCCCAAAGAGATCATAAACATGGGGAAAGGCCCTGTACAAAAATATTTATAGCAGCTCTTTCTGTGGTGGCAAAGAATTGGAAATTGAGGGGATGCCCATCAACTGGGGAATGGCTGAACAAGTTGTGGCATTTGAATGTAATGGAATACTATTGTGCTAGAAGAAATGATGAGCAGAAAAACCTGGAAAGACTTGTATGGACTTGAATGAGATATAACCTCTGTGAAGACTTCTCAGGGTGGTGATGAAAAGACTGTCTCGAAACTAGAGATAGGCTCTGTGAGAACGAACAGACCATAAGTTTAATTCGGCCCTAAACCCTCTCCTGATTGCCACTGCCACGTCAGCATTAGGTATACTAAATAAGAACATGTATGTTTGGATTGGCTATACCCTGTTTCCTTGTTCTTTGGGAATGGGAAAGATTTTCATACCTAGAATGTAAGCCTGCCTCCCAGCCAATGGGAGTAAGGGGTAGTGGTGGGGTGGGAGTTTCTTGTTTGTGTTAAGATATATAACATTGCTTTGTCCTTTGTGCCTCGCCTCTCTCCTGCTGGTAGTGTACTGGAGGAGTAGATGCCCCTTCTCGCGAGATTGTAATAAAGAGTAATTTTTGCTTCCTTGAGAAGTCTCTGAGTTTGTGTTAGAGTCACTGTACCACACAGACTGATGCTGAGTGAAATGAGCAGAACCAGGAGAACATTGTACACATTAACAACCATTTTGTGTGATGACTGACTTTGACAGACTTAGCTCTTCTCAGCAATGCAAGGATCCAAGACATTCCAAAAGCCTCATGATGGAAAATGCTATCCACATCCAGAGAAAGAACTATGGAGTTCGAACGCATATGGAAGCATACTATTTGCTTTTTTTTTCTTCTGTTTTGTTTCCTCTTTCTTGTGGTTCTTCCTATTGGTTCTAATTCTTCCTTACAACATGACTAATGTGAAAATCAAAACAAAACAATATTGTCATTGAATTATACTACAAACCACCTGGACAGAAGGAGGAAAAAAGGAGTTTGGGAAATAGATCCTAAAGCTGGCCGAGTCATGTTCTAGTAGTTGTGGTTGGGGCAGGATCTACCAGGGTTTCCACCATTTAGCTTTGGCTGTTTTTTCTCTAAAAGACTTGATTGC